TTTGGTTATTGATGAAATACATGTTAATAATTCGGGGCAAGGGATTTTGTACAGCAAAACTCATTTGTTGCATTTTTAATTTAATACATACACTTAAAACAGAAACATTACTCGGGTAGTTTCAACAATAATATTGTGGTTTAATAAAATAAATAGTTCAAGAAATTGAAATTGTCAAAATGGCGTATTCGGTATATTATTTGATTGTTCGTGGTTATAATTTGAATATAGTACTAATGAATAGAATGTGAGGGGTATGGATAATATTTGAATAAGGCTTATGTTAAATATTAGGCAGGGTTTTTATTTAGTTTTCAACAGTGTTGACGAGACCATTCGTTGGGCGCGCTAAGTTCGCCAATTTAGTGGGTCAGATCAGTTAACCTTTGTCTGTTACGCCCACTTAAGGCGAAGTATACGTAATTGCACGCCTCTAGCGAAATTCGGGATAAAAAACGTGCGTCGTTAGTTACGCGAGTTATCTCCCTTACTCCAAGAAAGGAAAAATGGGCACATGAAAGAGAAATGACTTCGTGCGGTCTATTACGAATCCAAACAAGTATGCATGTGCTGTCTCAAAACTTCAAAGAAATTATTTGAATGACTCCAATCAGAAATCTGAGTATCTGAGTTAGCCTGCCTGACTTATGTGACTCTTTTACCACTGTTTTTGTTTTAGACACGCAGGAGAGGTTACACAATACGACTTGTGTTTATATCAAAACAAAGTAAAAACGCCTATCAACAAAATTATAACCAAATAAACAAATAAACAAGTTACAATTCTGCTTCTATTCGAACCAAATTGATTAAAATCAACCAGAATTGACCCCACAATATTTTTTGAAAAATTGAGTTTTAAATTAAATACACACAGTAGCGTAAAATTGTAGGTAACGAATTATTATATCCCGTAATTATGGTACTCCGGTCACATAAGGACATTTTTTATTTTATTTTTCTGTAGACTTAGCTTTGTTTTTTAATTACCGTGTATTGTCAAGCTTGGTTACTCATAATTGTTTCTCAGTCACTGAATGTACGATGTTGTTACAAACTGAAGCAGCTGACCCCGTTTGTTTACCTTCAAATTCTAATGGCGCCAAAAGCACGTGACACATTGGATCGTCCAGACCGATCAAATTGCTCTATTGTCAATTAGGTGATTTTTTAGTCTAAGGCAGTTATATTATTTGTTTGTATGATATTGCTTTGAAATTGTTTGCAATGAATTGTGGGTTTCTTTAACAGGAAACCTCATTATTTACCATGAAATTTGACATCAATGGAATTTTTTTATGAATTTTCACGGGGGGGGGGGGGGGGGGGGGGGGGTGGCTAGGATGAAATTTTAAAAAAAAAGGCAGGACATGGAGTTTTGAGTATAAAATACGGCAAGATGAGCAACTTGGCAAAAAAAAAAGGCAGGATGACATTTTGTAAAAAAAGTCAGGATAAACTATAAAAAAAAAAAGGCAGGACCGAATAGAGTGAAAAATAAAATGGCAGGACAGAGATTACAACTAAAAAAAAAATGCAGGACAAAATTTTTCATCCTAGCCCCCCTGGTATTAGCGTAGTGACGTCAATGCGGAGTTTTCCGTGTGATAAGTACAATAACAAAATCCGAACGAACCGACATTATGACCGATTATAGACTACGGTAGGATATGACATGTGAATTTGTGTGTTAAACTAGAAAGACGTTGGCATGTTCTTTTTTTGATGGAAAATTTTAGGACATGATATATTTATATAAAAAGTAAGAAGAAACCAAAAAAAAAAGGGAGGGGGGGGTGGTAATTCGACCACTAGGGCAACATTTACAAGTCAAAGAGAAAAGACAACAAACAAAAAATACCATCAGATTCAGTCTACAAAACATTACACAGAAACTAAGCATTGAGCACTCTAACATTTATCTCTGAATAAGTAAAAACTATGTCATTCAACTCTCAGTGTTCAACTTTATCCACAAGGTGCAGAAAATAAACAGGTGTCTTCTAATCCGTCCGCAATTTTTGGGGAAAGTAAAATCTAAATCAAGAACCATAGTTGAAACTGACACTACACATATATGATAAAAATAGATCATGTTATTTCTTCTTTATCAAATTCCAATTTCAAAGGGACAGCGAAATTTGTTTTTCTTTTATTGTGCTTTTGTGTATCATTCAGAAATAGTGAATGCAATTTTGAAGTAACAATTTTCTTCTCAAGTCTCAATTCAAGATTTATATGACTGAATAGAGTAAAAGATAGGGGGTCAAGAAAGTAATGTGACACTTGTAACTGCAATTTAATATTTTGGTGGAATGAGAGGTGAAAGAGTTAAGACTCTTACATTTTGATAGCATATTAAAGACTGAATTTTTTTTAAACCCACTTGTATCCAATTTACATAAACTCTGCAGAAATACTACCAAATTCTACTCCAAGCCGGGATGTTTAACGACCTTGATTATCCATGAGGATCTCGCACGGTTAGCTCTATTCTATCACCTAGTTCAAAATTTTACAAGCATTCAGGAGCCTGTGGTTCAGTGGTTGACGTTGGATCATGTCAGTCATATTTGTTTTTCGTAAAAAAAATTGTTATAAATTAGGCCGTTGGTTTTCTCTTTGAATTGTTTCACATTTTTCATGTCGAGCTTTTGAGCCAATTATACGGTATGGGTTTTTCTCATTGTTGAAGGCCATATGGTTGGCTATAATAATTGCTTACATCCACTTCATTTGAACTGTGGCGGGTAGTTGTCTCATTGACAATCATATCACATCTCCTTGTTTTTATATTGTATTGATTAAATAGCAATTCAATTGCATTATCTACAGGCACAATTCGTATGGCACTATACTAATTAAACTCGTGTAGCATTACATTATGAACAGTCTCCTAGCATAACACTAGGTACATTCTTATAAAATTACACTAGCTTATTTTTTTTAGCATCATACTGGATACATTCTCATAAAATCGCCCTTGGTACAAGCTTTAGCATTACACTACACATAATGCTATCACAATGCTATGGCATAAAACTGGGAATGATCCTTAGTAAATGCACTAGGTACGTCGATCTTAAAGTATCATATTAGGTGTATGTTTTCATCTTGAAAATGCATAAAATATTTGCTACGGGAAGTTATACCAAAAACTCCGATCTGTTCTATTTGGTAAAATGTATAAGCGGATTCTTCTTTTGACCTTATTACTACCATACAAATTCTCAAGATAATATGCAGATGCAGTTTTCTTATTTTTTGGAAGACGTGTATGCGGACATTTAACAAATAATGTACAAGAAATATTTTCCTTTGTTACTGAAACTCCATTCAGCAAACATTATATCATGCTTTGTCGTGTAGTTAAAATAATTGGGAATGCGATCGAGACACGCAATTGTGTTAAATAAAATTATAGAGTTGTGTCACGTGGATGTGAATAAAATGGGTTTTGGTGTAGATTATTGTGCGCAATACCTCGAATAGCACCGGAAATGGTGAGGATGAAAAGATACAGAAAATTAGGTTTACCTTTTTAAATACAAACATGCAGAAATAAGATTAAAAAAGACGTGTATACACAATCCTAATATTATAACCGATTAATTCTGTCAACGCTGTGTTAACCGGGACAACGGTTGATAAAAATTTGGACAATACAAGCATTACAAAAAAGGTGCAGAAACATGTCTAATTTAGAAAAGATGAAGTTAAATATAAAATTAAGAAGATGTGATATGATTGCCAATGAGACAACTCTCCACCAGAGACCAAATGACATAGAAGTTAACAACTATTGGTTCAATATTTTTAAATCTCAGTGTCCCATTTCTTTTTGTCACTAATTCTCAATTGAATTTAATTAGTTTTTTCACCTGTTTTTTTTCTGAATAATTAAGGACCGCTAAAAAAAATAATGTATCGCTCCGAAACATAAATACATTTAATAAGGTCGGGTACACTACCATTTATGGATACACATGCATTGGCATACTAACGTTCCCGCCAATATAGTTGTTTGTTTGCATAATAAGCAATATATTTGCTGCTTTAGAGAATTGACCATCCATTAATAAAATTAGTTGCAATGCATGATGTACTACTACGTACTTTACCGAAAACACGTGTTTTTCAGTGACCTACAACCAACTTTTCTTTTTTTATGCCCCCGCAACTGAAAGTTGGGGGCATATTGTTTTACACTTGTCCGTCCGTCCGTCCGTTCGTCCCATTATGGGTATATAGTTACATTTGTATTCCACATAACTCCTCCTACAGTTTGAATGCTAGGAAGTTTTCACTTTGCTGGCTGTTTGTACATATATTGAAGGTGTGCATGTGGTCAGGGTTTTGATTTTTATTAATATTTGCTCTTTTCAGAGATAGTTGAACTTTGTCATTTTTGGAGTATAAGAGGTGCATAACCTTATAGTTATTCCGCATACTTTCTCCTACAGTTTGAATGCTAGGAAGTTTTCACTTTGCTGGCTGTTTGTACATATATTGAAGGTTAACATTTGGTCAGGATTTTGATTTTTATTATTATTTTCTCTTTTAGGAGATAGTTGAACTTTGTCATTTTTTGGAGTATTTACTTGCATAAGAGGTGCATAGAGTTTCCGGATAACTCCTCCTACAGTGAACCATAGATCTATATGCTCCCATGCTCAACTTTGTGTATTTTAAAATAACACTTTGCATCTGCGGGGGCATCATTTGTGTCTCCCAGACACAATAATATCTCAAAGAAAGTGCTACATTGACTTTGTTATAATACAGATACTTCAGAGTGGAGTGCGGGGGTATCACTTTGTCTAGTTTTGTCTACTTTTAAAGCATAAGTTATATGCTTAGATTAAGATAATAGACGGAGAGCTGATGAACTGCAACTTCTGATAATTTGTAGGTTAATGTGTCAACAAAACCCTGTAACAGTGTAATAACCTATTTGTTACAATTATGTTCTAATTCATAACTTCAAGCGAACATAAATATTTACAAAATAAACTCAACACCTTTGTATGTGATCAGCTCGCCTGACAGTGTGCAGCAAAGCTTTAATTTTATTAAAGACAAATGCAAAATACTAAATGTTCATCTGTTACTGTCTGCCTAGGCCGCTGCAGGTAACAAACACAAAAACCAATCTACAAAAATAAAAACAATTTTCATTATGTACGCAAATACATATTATGAATCAAATTAAAGATTCTGTTCTTACACACATTATTATTCACATTAATAAAAAATAACACAAGAAAAATACATTAAGTCGGGTGGGAGGGTGGGAAACTTTACTGCACCAAAAGCGAACCTCGAATGACAATATCTTAAATTCACACAACCGCCAAAAGTATAGCACGAAATATTTGAATTGACCTTATTCAAATATTATGGTCAGTTCTAACCTGACCAATGAAAAACATTTAACCTATTATATACTTTCAACACGTGTATAATCATAAACAAATACACGTGGTAATGTTTACATACCGGTGTACATAAATTTAATAAATATATTTATGTTCTAATTCATAACTTCAAGCGAACATAAATTAATTACAAAATAAAATCAACACCTTTGTATGGGATCAGCTCGCCTGGCAGTGTGCAGCAAAGCTTCGAAAAATAAAGAAAGGGTAAAAAAGTACATAATTAAATTCCAATATTATTGGTTACAGAAAGTCGATCCTTCACTTTTCCACCGACCATGCTTTTTAAACAATCTGTCCTCTACACCAGCCGCTGCAGCAGCCGATGCCCCTCCTGAACGGAGACTATGCAGTCCAAACTTTCTACTATCTAAGCCTATACTCTGTAAGCTTGAAAGTATTTCCCGAGCTCTCGTGTATGACAACGCACCTGTAGGTCTAAGTTTATAAGTATTATTAGATTTACAAAAATTAACAGATCTAAATATAAATTCATCAGAATTTGATGTAATACTAGCTAATTTGAGATATCGTTCTAGCGTAGAGACAGGACAAGTTACAAGATAAGTTCTAGAAATAGCCACATCCCTCCCTTCTCTGTAAATATCAGTTTTACTCTTCGCCAAATATAAATTTGCGTGTGTAGAATAACTCGTTATATCGATGCCTCTCAAATTAACTAATTCTGAGAACCTTCTTAAATCTTTAAGATTACTATTAAGGTGACCAAAAGTATGAACAATTTTTCGCAAAATGTCTGGTGTAATAGGATCTTTTTTAGTGATAAAATGTCCTAATTTTCTCTGTGCTCCTTCATTAACAAACGTTACTAATTCAGATGTACAAGGATTATTAAATCCAGCCAGTTTATGTGCCCAGCTAATGGCGTATATTACTTCATTTATCTTGCTAGCCGATTTTGCACTCTGTGAAATGTGAATCAAATATAATGAAACTGTATAATCAGATGATGGTAATGGGGTAATATTATGTAATTTAGTCCACTTACAGAAAGCATTAAAGGCATACTGGTACTTTTTACGAGTGTTCAGAGAACGTGAACTCAAGCAATACTCTGGTAATCTAGCTTTCAATGTAGAAAGTTCATCCGAAATATGTGAATTCTGTTTCCATCTACCAACTCGAAAAATATCTGAAAAATGTGCAATCGTGAAATAAACATTATAAAATGTCAAAAAATTAAAACTTATACAAGTGAACCATGCCACTGTAAAAACAACAGGACCGTGTCCAATATTTATTTGACCAAGCCAGCTACAATGTTATATACATTAGGGCCGTGTTGAATACAACCATGCTTTCTACAATGTATATACACACTAGGGCCTTAACAACAACGACCGTGCCTGCTACAATACACATTCGTGTACTAGGGCCTCGTCACTTAAACCTCGCCAGCTACAATACACATTCGTGTACTAGGGCCTCGTCACTTTAACCTCGCCAGCTACAATACACATTCGTGTACTAGGGCCTCGTCACTTTAACCTCGCCAGCTACAATACACATTAGTGCACTAGGGCCTTGTTATCCTTGTCGCATTTACTGTCAATACTGGAGCAATAAAAGGCTAAGTGCCAAAAATTGATTTTCTATTAGAACCACTGACAAAAATACCGCTTGTATTTTCAAATTCAATAACATCAGATATATAATCTCTTTAATTCATATTTTTTATCAAAAATGAATGACCAATAGGTCGCAGATATTCATTTTGGTACAATTAAAGTACCTTTAGCTTTACAAGCAATTACATGTTTTATAGCTCTCAACACAAAGTAAATAAGTTCTGAATAAAACAGTCTACAGCTTTTGTATTTACATTCCAGAATAAGGAGTTAAATCTTTCTAACTTTGCGTTACGAGAACTAGCAAAACGATCGACTGTATAAGGACCCCAAAGGTCGTTAATAAAAGTATAAACAAATTCTGAAACACCCCAGTCTTCATAATCAATGATTTTACTGATATAATCAGCTTTCAAATTTTCGCCTCTCGGAATCCATTGTATGTTTATGGAGATTCCCTTTTGTAAACAAATAGAAAAAAAGGGAATTGCTATATCTTGCAGTTTTTCTTTCATGCTTCCTGCTTGAACAATTCTGACACTATTTTGATTATCAGTTAGCCATTTTAAGGATTTTCCAGCAAATGCATGTTGATAAGACATCAACGCCAATTCTATGGCCTTCAGTTCCCTCCACGTGGAACTCTCTAACATTTCAGCGGATTTCCACATAGTGTGAAAATTTTTACTTTCCAACTCTACTGTACATGCTCCGGCAGCTATGCTGCTAGCATCAGAATATATCATTACATGCGAGTGATGCGACTGACTATATTTATTTAATGTTTTAAAATTGACATTTGCAATGTTATCAAGCCAGAACTTTAATTCTGATATTACAAAACTTTTACTTTCTAAAACTAAATAACTATCCCATGATATTCTACTTTCAATAGACATATAACAATATCTAGTCATTATTCTAGCAATATTTCCGATCACAGGAGACATACTTATAATTCTACCCGTTACCTGGGCTAAATTTCTGACAGAAATATATGGAATTTCTCTGAAAACATTATGAATAGATTGTAATAATTCGTCAATTCTCCTTTGAGGAATGCATAAAGTGAAATTACACGAATCCCTAATAATTCCCAACCACTCCAACTTATGCACTGGAGTAAAAACTGATTTTTCTTCGATTAGAAGAAAATCCGCATTCAAAAGTGATTGTTTCACGAATTCAGCATCTTTGATACATTCATTATTGTCTTTATTCATACCAAATCCATCATCAAGATATAAATTATTTTTATACCATTTTTTCTCCAATACTTGACCAATGGTAAATATGTAAGGACCCGTGGAAAGACCAAATGCTTAAATAGTGAAACAATAAAATTTATCTTCCCACGAAAAACCCAGATACGTGTGCTGCTGTGGACATATATCCAAATGAAAATAACCAGATTTCAAATCAAATTTATACAGATAATCATTTTTCTGAAAGTATTGCACAGCTATTTTCCAATCTTCAAATTTAATCTTTTCCTTTTTCACCGATAAATTCAAAGTGCTCAAATCTGAAAATTAGACGCTTTTTCCCAGACTTTTGGGTAGCTACACTCAGCGGATTGACAATGTAAGGTTGAAATGGGACTTCAATAACGCAACCTGAAAGAATAAGTTCATTTACAGATTTGCTAACAAATTCATTATTCTGAAGAGCAGATTTGTTTTTTTTCATGTACATGCTCAAAGGACTATCAATAAATGGAATTAGATATCCATTTTTCAATGTGTCTAAAATAAAAGAATTAGCACCAATATGTTCCCAGTACTGAATACATTTTGCTAACCTTCCCTTTACACCAGAGAAAATACCCGTGTTAGATTTGAAATTTTGAAAAAATCTTACTTGTCTAAGCAAAATCTCAGTATCGTGATTTAAACAATAATCACTATCAAAATCAGAAAATAAATATAAATACTTATCATTAACTAACTGTTCGTTGTTAATTGTTCTGTGGTGTATTGCTGATGTTGAACTGGTTGCGTTTGAGAAGTGGACAGTTCTTCCTCCAGTGACCAAATTGTATACAGGCATGGCACATGTCGTGCTGGGACGGCTCACGCCGCCCGCTGCCGACTCGAAAGGGCGGCGGGTTCTGACGCTGATACTGATTGACATAATAAGGATTAGGAGCAGTTTCAACAGACGCTGGTCTAGACGTTGTCTTGTAAGGATGTGGGCGACGGGATTTATCTTTAGCCATACGCATGGCTCTGGATTCCGCTGGGCGGATTTTCTTTCCATCTTCATAATCTGAAGCGATAACATTTGCTTCATATCTCTGACAGTAGCCCAACCACCTGCTGAAGTATCTGCTATGCGTATAAGTTTGTTTCTGCCCTTAACCTTGTCTATGAGGAGGTCTATGATGATAAGTGAAACCTTGGTCTCGGAACGGGGAACAAAGCTATAAACTTTGTTTAGCTCAGTAATAGTTTCCTCGTTAAACTTGTACTGTATTTTATTGCCCTCGTGCTTGAATTTTAGCAAAACCTCTTCTTTTAACTTTTTAGAAATTACGTCCTGTTCACGGACCAAATCTGATTTAAGATCAACTAGCTTATTGTCAAAATACACTTTAAAAAGTTCAAAGGTATCGGCCAAATCACGGCGCTCTTCTACTATGTGGTTGCGACTTTGTGAATTACCAGTTGAAATGTGTGAATGTTCAGTCTCACCTTCAGACATTGGACTTCCTTCTCTTATCTCTGACATACTCAGGTTAGGCACAAGCTTACAACTTTACTGCACCAAAAGCGAACCTCGAATGACAATATCTTAAATTCACACAACCGCCAAAAGTATAGCACGAAATATTTGAATTGACCTAAAAGTTATTCAAATATTATGGTCAGTTCTAACCTGACCAATGAAAAACATTTAACCTATTATATACTTTCAACACGTGTATAATTATAAACAAATACACGTGGTTGGTTATGTTTACATACCGGTGTACACAACTATTAATAAATTTTTTTAATATGTTTAGTATGAGGCTTTCGTTTTAATTATTCTAATACAAAGATATTGTGAACACATTATTTAATTCATGGATAGATTTAAAAATGTAAGTACAATTCCAAACTAGATTGTTGTGATCCATCTGCTGCATCTAAGAGGTCGGGACATTTCCAGAGGCGAATTTCCAGAGGGGGGGGGGGGGGTAGGGTAGGGGGCTGTCCCCGTTATGTTGGTTAATACATAGTCTTTTTACGTGTCCCACTCCTATAACGTTGTGTAGTTTGCACCTTTTCAAAATCCTAGATCCGCATATGATTTCTTTATACCGATATGCAATAGTTAGCATACTAATGCTCCCGCCAATACATGTATCAGTGCTTGTTTACAATTTACGCATTTTTCTGGGCGATTGACCGACAAATCCATGAATGAGTTGCAATGCATGACGGACTACTATGTGTTTACAATTGTTTATAACTGCATGACATACAACACAATTTTTAACATTGCCGAAAAAAGAATTGATTTTTATACCTTTTCTTCTTTTGTGTTTACATTTACGATACAAACTATTTTGTTCTAATAGTATGCTCACATTCACGAATTATTACTTCGTTGCTATATATATGAAAAAGAGTTTTAAATACTCGAACCATAGCCAATAATATTATGAATATAAACAAAGAAAATTTAGATATTCGTTCACGAAAAAAAAAGCGAAATACACGAACTACAAGCACAAGAATAAATACACACACTAAATGTATTCGTTCACAAATCAGCAGCCAATTGACAAACGACATAAAAACTCAAAAGACATAAAAGTAATACATCTAGGTCCCGAAAACGGAAGTCGCATGAACTTTTCAGTAATACAGAAAAATTGTCAAATTTCCGTAAAATGGACTAAGAATTGAAAAATAATGGGATTTTTTTTTTGTTAATTTGTTAGTTCTTTTGATTTATGATTTATTCATTCGTTTTCAATTTCTGTTTCTGCTACTAATTGATTCACAACATCTTTACAAAGACCAAACTGTTCCGGTTCCCCATTACATAAAGCATTATACAAATAGAAAAGTCTTTTAGTTATTCAGATATACCTTTAGAAATATACTTAAATAGAGACAATTGAGTAGTCTAATATACTTGTATATCCAAAGTAAACTGACCGTAAGAGTCTTCTAAATGACCGAACGATTCAAATGATGTACCATGCGAAAAATATCCTAATAAGAAGTCATTTTTTTCCATTATCCTGAGTTCTTTTCACAAACAAATCTTATCCATTGAATAAACGGTAGGTTATTCTTAAATGTATCCGACGTGGGAGTATTTTTTTCTTTGTAAGATATTTTTTTAAATAACCCCACAAACTTGGGAGTTTTTTTTATAATACAAATCGAAATGTGTTCAATAATTTAATAATATTAGCTCTGCATGCACATTTATTGTTCTTTTAAATGAAACTGTTGTGTGTGATGATCTAAAGAATGTTTAAAACAAATTCCTTTTAAATTGTTTTGAAAGAAATTTAATTTTATGTATCGAAATGTGAAACAAGTGATTATTGACATCCCCACTGGAAGGCCTTTGACAGAC